TATTCAGTAGCTTAAAAGAGATACTCTCCAAATTACAAGATTGCCTTTTTACTTTGTTTTCTTGTAAATTCTCTAATAAATTCTGCATGTTGAACAGTCCCTAATAATAATTTATTTGTTAAAAAGAAAAATTCCTACGCCGTATGGGAAGGGGTTATACAATCGTGATTTCTGCATCCACATGATGATGCTAGTGAATAAGCAAGTTCCAAATTCCAAGACTACTTTTTTACTTTGTATTGTTGTAAATTCTACATACTGAACGGACCCAAATAATGATTTAATTTTTTTCAAATATAATAGCCATGGCTAGATAGACTATGTAAGGAAGAAAAAAAAAAATTAGTTCATGGCACGTGGCTGCTGGATACATTCAATTTGTTAAAAAAGCAAATTCCTACACCTTATGGTAAGAAGTAAATCAGGGGTATATAGAATCGTGAATAAGCTAATTGAGACTAGTATTAGGTCCTGAAAAGAAATGGAATGGAGTGAATGTGTTGATAGAGAAAAAAATAAACTAAAATAAAGATGTAAATTAATAGCGAGGTGGTGACATAGTTATATACTGTATACGTCTATATATAAAAATTATTTATTGTTATTGGAGGATTTAACTGCAGTCTTATTACATGGCTACGAGAGAGAAACTGATCGAAAAAGAAGCTACTGTTATCATTACATGACTGCATAAAGAAAGCTAGCGAGGGAAGGGATGACGATCATATCACATTGAATTGCTCATTCGACCATATGTAATTCGCCGCCACTGCGATCAGCCTTCTTGAACTGAACGATGAACGGGTCATCATCTTTCACAACCAAACGCCTGTTGTCGTCATCGTCGATGGAGATTCCGAGATCTTTACAGCCATGATTATCTCGCGAGTGACTTACGCAGTAAACAAGTTTGTAGGCATCTCTATGAGGCTGGATTTGAAATGGACCAAATATCTGTTCTTCTCTGGATGCAATCTTCACTATCTGAGATTCTTTCGAAACCGTCCACTGTAACCTGAGTGGCGGTGGCAACAGGGTGGATTTGATGGTGAGATATAATGGTTAGAGGAAATCCTGGTTGAGAGTTAACATTGGAACTGGGGACGCCAATCTTGTTGGCCAGCTTTTAGAGGTCTCCGAGGGAGCTTGGACGACGGTGCGAGGGCAAGATTCTTTTCCAGTTCTGGCAAGCTCAAGGCCACCGCCCTTTCCTCTTATAACTGGAATATATAGTATAAGCCTCCTTGTTCATAGGCTCACCATCCATGTCAAGAAGACCATAGCCAAGAGTGCTTGTGGTGAAGGCAAAAAGGAAGAGGCTCTTAGGGCATGCAAACCAAGCATAGTGCCATTTTTTCTAGTTTTAAGAGAAAAAGCCATGTCGATCGCTTGCATGTAGTTTGTGTTCCATGAAGGCTTTGTATTTATTGATGCATTCTGCGTTGCACATGTGATGGTCTTTTGTTTCTTTCAATCATAGCAATTTAATTTACGTGGTACCTTATACCCACAAAAAACATGTTGAGCTGTCATAATGAAAAGCATTTTTTTCATGTATGAAGACAGTTTTTTTACATATGCATGTATGTCTTTGAAAAGGATTGGGTTCATGACTGGAGGGTTGTATTCTGCTCTGTTATTTATGTGTGCATGTCGTCCACTTTGCACCATGCATGCAACTTACCATTTCTATCAACACCCACATTATACTAAAACAAAAACATGTACATGGACCAATAATTATGATTGGAATGGCGTGTTGGTTGTAAACTCTGGTATAGTTTCATTTGTTTCGCTGATATTTCTCGGAAGCGATTTCAATATTTGATGATTTTAGGTGTGTTTCGTGGGTTAATAATAATACTGACTAATTTTTCAATCATTCCTAACTTGTCAAAATTAACGATGAACTATAACTTTTACCTTGGACAAATATGTTATTCTTTTTCATTTGTTTAAAAAAAAAAAGTTTGTGATGTTTAAAGGAATGGCTGTTTCTGACATGCATTGAGACACCTCATGGCATGCGTACTTCCAGAAGAGTATATAGTCTGCCAAATGTTCAGAAAAAAAAAATAAAAATATATCCTTTTTTTGTGGCTTTTTATTTTTCTGTTTTAATAAAGGGTATAGATCATTTTCATTTTTGTGGTGGAGTGCATATTTGTGATAAAGTGTTTCATTTTCATTTTTTTATGGGGGGTGTGTATTTGTGTTATGTGTTTGGAGATAATTGCGGTCAGGGAAAATGCAAAATCTCACAGTTCTATTTGAATATAAATGCGGGTTACTGTGGACTTTGAGCATCCACGTGTTAGGCTGTCGTCATGATAGATATATATATATATATTAATACAAAAGCCAGACCGCATAAAATGTGTAAAAAAGTGATAACTTAACTTTTTTAGCATGTTTTTTTTTTTATTTTAATTTTGAGGGATATTAGTAAAATTTTAGTGGATATATCAAACAAATAATATTACATGGAACTGAAAATGTGCTTTAGTGTTTTGTATGATGAATTAAGAGGAATTATGGACTGATATGATTTGGAGATGATTTTTTTTTTTTAATCATCAGTTAAGCTCATTTTGTGTAAATTTTAGGCAAGCATGTCAGAAGAATATTTAATGGATCTTTTTGTTGTTAATCAATGTCAGCAGTAAGCCCAAACTCACAAAGCCTAAGTCTGTTACGTAGTATTGGGCCTTCTTTTCTGTATTCTCAGACTATTGTATTCTTTTATTCATTATTTCTTTTTTCTTTTTATTCGTCAGAGATCACGTCATGTTTTCTTCTTTGACGTCTTGTAGTATTCTTTTAGGAAAAATTTTAGTCAGGAACCCTTGATCAAACATAATGTATGAAATTTTTTTTTTTGAATTTATGATAAAAATGATAAAATACCCTCATTTAAATGAACAATATGAATAACTTATTCATTCTTATATTGTATATTGTTCATTATTTATAAAATGTTATTCATTTTCCTATCACTGGTGTATAGCCCTTTCAATGAATCAAGTGAAAGCAGACATATATATAAGTGAAGTGGGAAAATAAACAACATCCTGTAAGTAAATGAACAACATACAATATGAGAATAAACAAGTCATTTATCATGAAACTAACAAGAAATAAAATCAAGTGAAACTAAGGCTATAAATAAATAAAATAAAGAAACGAATAATATTTCGTAAGTAAATGAATAACATCAGTAAGGGAATAAACAAGTCGTTTATGTTGTTTATTTAAATGAGAGCAATTTTATCATTTCTATTACAAATTCAACATAAATTCATATAGGTCCTTCAATGAAATTTCAAAAATTTGAGGTTCTCTATTTTATTAAGTTTGGTCAAGGATCTCTAACTGAAATTTTTTCATTCTTTTATTCATTTAGCTTGGCAGGCACCTCACACACTACGAGAATGCACACTAATTTGCTAGAATTCTGTCCATCCAGCATATGTACAACAGTTGCAAGGTGACATTTGGTGAATATTGTAATTTTATTCTTGGATTCCATTTTGTGATTCTATATAATAAACGAAAGGCAGTTTAATTTGTTACATTCATGCATAAAGACACTATGTGCATCATGTAGGTCAGTGCTAAAAATAGAAAAAAACTGGTTTTCATATCTGATCCCTGAGTTCATTACTGATGCTGTGGAAGAAAATTACAATTGAATCAGAAGAGCTCTTCAAGTCTGAGATAAGATATAAAATGATTTTAGTTTAGATTCAGATCATTATATATTGAAGGCTATTGGAAATTAAAAAAATTAACAAATAAAATTAGTCAAAAGATCGAAGTGATCACTTGAATAAATTTATTATTTGCCGACAAGTACAGTGCAGTCTTATTACATATAGCTGCGACGGAAACTAACGAGGAGGAAATGTACGGAGGCACTTCCCTTAGAACAAAATAACTGCATAAACTTTAACTAACAACAGAAACAATTGAGGAGTGATGAACGTCAAAAAATTCTCATTCGATCATAGTTGTCTCTGCGATTAATCTTCACGAACCGAAACTGTTAGTGGGTCTCGTCCTTCACAACCAAAAGCTTGTTATTCTCATCGTCAATGGAAACCCCTTGATCCTTACAGTGATGATCACTATTAACTTATGAGCCAGTATCACAATAAACAAGTTTGTAGTTCATCTCTATATGGGTGGAATTGGAACTGACTGTACATCTTCTCTTCTTCTGGTGACGCAATCTTCACCATTCGCGACTCTTACTCAACCTTCCACTGTAACCTAGAGCTTTTGAGGTTGAAATTCAATGGTGAGATAAAATC